TTGTTGGGTTTTTAGTTTGTTTGATCTTTGGCCGCGATTAGGAAACTACTTTAGTATTGATATAAATGAATTTCTTAAGTGGATTTCAAATGCTGAAGGATTGAATTCTACATCATACAAATCAACAACTAGTAGACTTAATCGTTATAATAATACTGCTAGTCAATTGGATCGATATAATTATAAGGTCAGTTCTCAAAATAGTTTGGGATATACGGCTGATAAATATGCTTCATATGAAACTACAGCAGTAGCTAGTGAGTTAAGTAATGATACGACGATTCATACAAGTAGTTTAGAAGAAACAAATGAATATCTGGAAAAATTAGCTAATAATATTTATAAGGATCCTAATCCAAGAATTATTCGACAAGCAACAACTGAAAAGCCAGTAACACTACAACAACGAGTTCTTATTCGATATCTTCAACCACCAGCTGTTCCACCACCAGGAGTAATGAAACAAAATGTCTACAAATTCAATCTTATTAATATTTGTATGATTCTAGCCACTCATTATTAAAGAAGTGCGTCTACGACAACCGTCACCACCTTCACCACTTGTCATACACGAATATGCGCCACCTCTTCCCTCACCACCTCCACTTATCTTACGTGAACGGCCACCAACACCGCCGCCATATGTTCCTAGTGAGACAAGTTAGAAAAAAAAAGAAATTTGTATTAGATAAATAAAATTAATCAATCTTTTTTATTTTACAGTTATTCGTACCTTACCTGCTATACCTGTTCCACCACGATCAGTTGTCATCGAACGTTTTCTACCTCCTCCAGAAAAACCACGTACACGAATTATCTTCATTTTTCTTTTTGTTGTTTTTATTTTTATTTTTGATTGTTGTTTTTTCCCTTTTTAGGCGATATTATAATTGAACGATGGATTCCCTACGGACCTCAACCTGTACGCCGTACAATTATTGAACACGCTCCTCCTGGGATACAATATCCACAACCATCTGATACTATGATTATTTATTCTGCTGGGGAAACACTTAGGGCCCAAAAATTTGAAAAACTTGGTGTTACTCAAGAAGATCCTGCCATTTATGTAGCTCGTGATGAGCCATCGCTTTTAGAGCCAGCAACACTTGTTCAGCAAGCTCGCAACGGTGATGTTATTGGAGATATAGTAAACTTTTTTCAAAAACAAAATACCTTCAGAGAGAAAAATCTATATAAATCTTTTATTATAGTCGTCTCCGGTACTATCATCTTCAATATATGCAGCTACAGGTGGAAATACTGTTCATTTGGATCAGTCAAATAAAATAATCAATCAAGGTTTTTCATTATCGCGTGGAACTCATAGTGAAGGAATTCAATTAGATGCTGATACCAACGGTATGAATCTTAGTAATACAAGGTATTCATTTTCAGCATCGACGTTTATTGGTGACAGTGCTTCAGCTGGTAGTGCTGGTGTAACTCGAAGTGAATTTAATGACGGAGATGCTAGTGTTACCACTACTCATTCTAACCGCGTTGGAAAATTAAATCAAACAAAATTTGAACAATATATTTAAAAGATAATTTAACTAAAATTCTTTCTTTTTCGATTTAAAGAACTGTTTTTTTTTGTATTTTTTACAATTGAACACATAATTTATAACAAAAGATCCTATAATAAAAGTAAAATAAAAATTGATCAAAGACTATTGGTACCAGTATTAGCTAAATCTCATTCTCTTGCAAACCATGTCGGTCTTATTTTTAAATGAGCTGTGGGCATGAATAAGAAGAGACAACATCCACACTGCACCCTATATTTCATTGTCATGTATTTGAACAACGTTTATCAAAGCCAAAGCGTCTACACGATTGGTGTAAAAAAATGCTTGATAGGGCAATTGTAGAACGTATTGCTATTGATTATAAGGTAAAAAAATATATATATATGAAATCTTTGTTAATTGAATATTCATCGAGTTTAAAAAAAGCGTTTCTTCTTGAATGAAGCTGTCAGAAGACATCGTAGAATGCTCGAAGAAGCTTCATTTTGTGTTGTGTTTCAAACAGAATGTGAAATTGCAGTGTCTATTTTTTGAATTAATTATTACATAAGAAAGTATCACGATAAATAGATAACTGTTTTTCATGATATTGAACTTTTGTCATTCGATTTCTTTGCATAAAAAGTAAGAATTTAGAAAAAAAATGACTCAACTTGACGATGATGTCTAAGATGGACTTTCAAATGAAAAATGTACAAAATGAGAGTTCACAAAAAATTAAAGCTTGTCAAATAAGCTATTTTCGACTTTTATTTATCTTCCAAAAACGTTTATGATTCAAAAAATATCGAGAAATCTTTCATGAATATGTTTATTCATGTCTTATTCAAATGTTATTATTTTAGGATATTATGAAAGATTGTTTGGATAATTAAGTACAAGTAGTTCTTGACATTCCATATTTCGATGGTAATTTTTGGTTGATTATTATTGAAGCACATATTGAAAGTATGTTTTATTATTGATAATAAAAATCGAATTTTATTTGATTATATTTTAGAACTCGGCCAAGAAGATCGAAGAAAACAAGAGGTTGAAGCAGCACAAGCTATGGAAGATGAAGACTTAGATGATTCTATTGAGCCAGAAGATTCAGCAGAAATTAGTAGAAATTTAGTAGCCAAAATTAAAATTTAACTAAAGATAAATTTATATCATCATATGAGTAGAATAGAATGAAAATTGAGTTCAACCAACAATCACATTTTTGATTGTAAAAACAAGCGTATAGATTAAAATCATTTAGCAATATGAATGTTTTATTCTATCGGATGAATCTATCTCTCTAGTCGAATTTTAATAATTACTATTTGAATCTTAATTTTATCTACAATATGAATATTTGCTTTTCATTTTAATTTAGATTTCTGGTAAGTGTAAATCTGCAAATACATATGAAAAGAAAAATTTGAAGAAAACAGCAAATCAAACGTCAAATTGTACTGATTTATTATCTATAATATTTTCAACTATGGAAAAATACAAAGAGGTAAATTATAAAAAAAAAAAAAAAATTGTTAAAGGTGGATTTTGTTCATTCAAAATTTAATTTGAAAGTAATCAAAGATTTCTATTACTACTAATGAAGTGACAAAAAACTTCGTAGGTAAGCTTGTCATACGAATTTGGAAGAGAAGATGAAGATGATCCATACCTCGATTTATGAGACAGTGTCTAGCGGTAAATATGTTAGCTCAATCTCTTACTTCATACTAACTGTAGCTCTGAGCAGAAGATCGTCCAGATAGAAGAATTCTTCAGCTTCCTATATATGTTAACTAACTATAACTATTTTCTTCCCTTCCCCTCTCCCTCCTCCCAAAAAAGGATTAAACTGACTTTAATTGCTCTCTCTTTTCCACAAATTTTAATACTTACAACTTGCATCTATATATTTTTTTAGGCATTCTTTGCTATTCATCGTCATAATCAAATAATATCCTATCTAGCAGTCAATAATACTGATGCTCTAATTCAATGTGATTCAATGGATATGCGAAATACATTTCTAAATTTTGCTTATGATAATAATTATGAATTTTCTTCATTAGGTCGTGCAAAATTTTCAACCATGACTTTATTATATGAATTATATACATCAACAACAGAGAAATTTACATATAATTGTATTAGATGCCAATAACAATGTCATATTTCTTATGATTGTACAGGATGTGAAGATTTTGATCTATGTGAAAAATTTTATAATATGCAACTAAAATATGAACATAAAATAGAACATTCGGTATTGTCAAGAGTTATCATGAACAAAATTTATTAAATAGTAATCATAAATCTATAGCAAGTACACAATTATAACAATAACAATCAATGCAACGTTGTATTGAAGGTTTGTTACATGCACTTAATTGTCATACAGTTAACTGTATTAATTGTAGTTGTTTTCGTTATAAACGTATTATACAACATATAAAAAATTATAAAGAAAAAAATTGTCAATGTAATGTATGCAAAGAAGTTATTTTTCTTTGTTGATACCATGCTAACAGTAGTATAGATCAAAATTGTCAAGCGAGTCCGAACATCTCTTTCATTTGACTAATTGGTTGACGTAAATTCATTCATTATAATAGATTTTTGTCGTTGTCAAAGGTATATAATTACGTACAAGGAATATAGGATATTGTGGAGTAGTTTCTTCTCTATCGATTGATATGATTCGATTTTAGCAGGGATGAAACTAGATCGAAAAGTCATAGTTTTTCATCGATTAATATATTGAGTGAAAACCATTAGATCATCAAAGTATTAGAGGATACTGGTGGCATATCGACAAGGTGTGGGTGTGGGTATGGGTGTCATTCCTCTCTGTACTCACACCCACCCACACACCCTCACCCAATACAACCAAATATATGGCTCAGTATTACGACCGTAAATCTCCATATCGTATACGGAGTAATACGGCGATATACGGAGAAATATATGGTCGTTCACCATTTTCGTATACGCAGTCCGTATACGGTGATCGTTTTACTCCGTATTTTTTCGTAGACGATCGTATTGCAGTGTATACGATCACGACGATATACGATCGTAATACTGAGCCATGTATTATGGTAAAATACGACCGTAAACGATCGTATCGAGGCCGTATACGGTTGTTTACAGTCGTATACAAAGTCCGTAATCGTCGACCTGGGATTTCTCAAACACAACGTTTAAAATTTTCGTCATTTTAATATGAGAAAGTAAATATTTATCGTTATTTGATTAAATTAGATAAGAAAAGATCAATATTATTATAAAATCATATAGAATGAGAGCAAAAACAGATGGAAAATAAGTTTTTATTGAAACCTATAAAATGTAAAAGCACTTGAAGAATAGATGCCCTTTATTGAGAGAAAAAAAAATATTAAAATGAAATATTTAAGAGCTGTTCTGGTCCTCTGTTTAATTGGCTATGTTAGCTCATCTGTATCTGTTCAAGATTATGTTGACACAATGTTATCCAATATAAATAATAAAAAAGAAGTTATTGAAAATAATCCAGCACTAGTCCATCATATTTATCAATATTTTCAAGCAGTCTATCCTCGTCAAGATACAAGCAGAATGATTGACTTTCAAAAATCCAAACGTATGGAAATATTTAAATCAAATTTACTATATGTTATGCGGCATAATGAAGATTCTTCAACAACATTTAAATTAAAAATAAATCAAATGAGTGATTGGACTGATGAAGAAAGAGATGCATTACGTTCAGACTTAGAAGTTGAAACACCTAATAATCAACAACCAACAGAATCACGTGATGACACAATAGTTCCACCAGAATATGATTGGACTAATCAAACGCGTGTTCCAGGCGCTGTTACACCTATCAAAGATCAACGTCGTTGTGGTTCATGCTATGCTTTTGGTATGGTTGGAGCCTTGGAAAAAACATATGCAGAAATTTATAAAGAATCTGGTCCACTAAGTCCGCAACAATTAATTGATTGTTCAGGTCAACATGGTTGTGAAGGAGGAGGTTTTATTGGATCATTTCGTTATATTCAAAGAAATGATTATAGACTTAATTTGGAAAAAGATTATCCATCAACAGCCGATGGAAAAAAACAAGAGAAATGTCAAAATGAAAGTGGAGTACGTCTTTCGTATAATTCAACTCGTCAACTTCGATATGAACTGATACCATTTGGAAATGAAGAATATATGAAAAAAATTGTTTATGAACGAGGTCCAGTCTTTGTTTCTTTCAATTGTGGCGTACGCAAAGGTAATAATACTATTCTACGAGAAGTATCAGATAAATTTGATCATTATGCATCTGGTATTTTTGATGTACCTGGATGTCCAACATTTCAAAATCTCAATCATGCACCTGTTGTTGTTGGCTATGGAACTGAAAATGGTACTGATTATTGGAAAGTTAAAAATTCATGGGGACCAAATTGGGGTGATCATGGTTATATCAAAATTAGACGAAATAAGAACATGTGTGGAATTGCTACTTTGACTTATTCTGCTGGAATCTTTTGAAATTTTTTTTGGCATCAATAAATTTAAATTAGTTAGAGAAAAAATTTAATTGAATAAGAGTTTTTTTCCTAACCCATATGATTAGAGGCATAAGTCGATGAGTTGATCGGTGGCGGCTGATTCGATACTGTGAGTTCTTCGACGGTGATGGCTATTAAAACATAATATTTGATTCTACCAAGGATGGCGACGGCTCAAGATTTTTCATGACCTTTTGTTTTCTTGTTTTCGAGAGATTTTGAAATGAAAAAAGGTAGAAAATGCTAAAAGAGATGTGATTAGTATAAAACTAGAGAGGCCAGTTTAAAAGGAAAAGGAATATGACGTTAGTCTAAAATCAGATTATTCAATTTTTGACCGATTTTAATCACGCCTACCGTAAAATGTGTTTTCTCGAGTTTTTATTTAGAAACTCAAAATTTTGAATAGTCTCTCCGACTTCTCGACTCAGCAAATGGTAAATGCAACGCTAGAACTCTTTGACACACATGCCATACTGCGGACTAGTATACCACACAATACTTATATAAAAGTACATTAAAATCTTTCTAAATCACAAAAAGCCGATAAAAAGCCGATTTTTTCGCTTTTTTTTCGTAAGAACATTCACGAAAACTAATCTTGAATGTCAAAAATATGCAAAACCAGAGTATGGTTATTGTGCAATGGCGGCCGAGATTTTTTCCGAAAAATTGGTGGCGGCGGCGGTTCAGCCACTCAGCTTTCATCTCTACATACGATGACCTTCATATGTGTTGACGACAGATATCTATCCATAAATACGAAATCAAACTAGTAACTGTTAGAGAGTTGCATGTCCTTCTTGACTCCGAGTCAAACTTTTAGTTTTTGTCGGATCTGGAACCATGTCCAAATTTCACTGAAGACACAGTTTTCATTCAACTCCGAGTTTGAATAGAGAAGATCCAAAGTCATTCTAGTGACGAGTTGTGGCTCCTTACGGAGTTGAATTGGAATCTGTTAGCATTTGTGCTCGTAAAGACTGAAGAACACTACATGTTCGAAATATGTGGGTATAGGTGTGTTATATTATGTTTAAGAAATACTGCGACTATAGTTTCGAGCTTTCTCAAGGATCAATCCTCAGATAATTTTTGAGTATAAACAAGAAAAATGAGTGAGAAGAAGTAGTAAACATATAACTTACAGAGAAGGTTTTTGAATAGTTTCCATATTGTATATTGTTTTCTTGATGGTTTTTAGTAACATAGAATTTCGACTCATGCTTCATAGTTGATGGCCGTATGGGACACGTTTTTTGATTTGGAAAAATTGATTCTACGCGTTTCGATTGAAATTAAGGTGGAAGAATTATAAGTCGTTGATGCACTCATGTTAAATTCGTTGTACGGAAATATTGCGTTTATATCATGTTGGTAATTGGCAGGTGAACGTTCATCTAAAAAGGCAAAGAAGAAAATTAAGTGTGTTTGTTTGTTTGTTTTGAGAAAAGTGTAGGATGTCCAGATGAAGACGTATGTTTATTTATCAAAAGTAATAATTGGGTAACAGACGTATTAAAATCGAACGGTTAGTCTAGTTTTGCTTCAGTTAGCGATATAAAAATTCGACATGTACAGATCGCTGCAACTGATATAGGTTGTCATTGTTATACTGTTTTTGTTGCTTTTCTTGTTATTTTTCTATGATATGTATGTCTTACTGACAATCTCTACATCTGAATATAGTTAATTAATAACATAACTAGAGTCAGAACATGTTCGAACACGTATGTTCGATGATTAAATGTAGTCTATGTTTTACATGACCATTCATAATGGATTATTCGTTTTGCCAACAGCCAGTTATTTCCTTATCTGGTTAAAGGGTAGACCAGAAGTATTGACTTGATTTGTATAATAAGTTTTTCTTTAGCAAAATGCGTGGTTGAAAATGTGTTTCTATCAAGAAAAGATGCAGTAAAAGACGCTCGACAAAATGACTATTGATGGATCCGGCTAGCTCGTCTAGTAAGAAAGTTACAGACTTAGAAATGTGCTTTAAAAAAAAGAAAAATTAACCGTGAATTCAATCTCGATACTTGAGCTTTAACTACTGTTCCTTAGATCCCCTAGAACAAATTTTTTTATCAATAGAGGCGTCATGAAATTCTTGATGGTGGATGTGGGTATGTCGACATTTGTCTTCTTTTAATCAATACTTACATCCATACCCACACCCCAAACTAACATTCTTTTTAAAAGAAGAGAAAATTTATTGCTTTGATTATCATACGACTTTTATGTAATCATTTTGAGCTAAATAGAATTTTGGAAAAATGATAAGAGAGTCACTTTTCGACTAAAAAGAATTTCGTCCTCAAAACGTTAATTTGTGTTTAATAAAATAAATTTTTTTTTTCGGTTCGGTTCGATTCGGTTTAGCGCTACGCAAATTTCTCTCGGTTCTGGTTCCATTCACAATTTAAAAACTCGAACCGACCTCACCTCTAGTACATATCTCCGATCACTTTCACCGCCTTGCCGTTCGACTATCATATGATTAATATCAAAAAGAAGAGAAAAAGAAATTTAAAAAGAAAAATCTATACACTCCTGTACAAGGTCTGAAGAAAACAACTTTGATTGTCGAAATGGCACGTCATTATTGTATTGAAATCATTAATACTTATGGATGATGATAAATTGAAATCAATTTTTTTAATTTAATTTTAATTGTTGAATAAAGATATACAAAAAAAACCTAGATGGTATTCGAGCTTTGACTCGAATACGAAATGCGGTGCGAAGCATGAAACTCTAGAATTTTCGAAAAAACCACATTTCATAGAAGCGAAAATCTGATTGTCGAGTTAATAGTAATCGTCATTTCTCGTTGGAATGTCACACACTACAGAACATAGATACTTCACTGTATATCATTCGAATTCAAAGAATTATTTTTTCATGAGGCAGCTGATATTAGTCACGAGAAAATTGAAAACCATCATAATAAAATTCATTACCACGAGAACTCTATGAAAGCCTATGAATACTTTTATGAACGACAATTTCGATTGATCGTTTAATTATCCTTGCGATCACTTTATTATCAGCTGACTTACAGCTGTAATGAATTACTTCAATAGCTCGAAAAGACTTGCGGCTAACTTTTCTTGCTATCATCATTTTAATTATCTCGAGCATAAAATTTTTCAAATTCCTCTTTTTCCTAAATTATTTCTAATCCAACCGCTTATCTTAATGAAGTATGGAAAACGAATTTCTACGATTTGTTCTCGATTCTTTCATTTCACGTTTCAACGGACTTTTTCTGATTTTTCGTTCTTGAGATCAGCGCGACACAAAATGACTATTTTTGATGCGTACGTCAAGTAAGTAAGAAAAAAACTCGCGAAGGACTACATAAATGCTGTGCTTCGCACCGCATTAATAAATACACATAAGGAAGACTAAAAACATGCAATAAATTGAAGGTACAATTTTCAATCAAAAAAACAACGTATGTTTTGACGATATGCTCATGATGATTTTACGCATATGATGATGCACATTTTTTTCTGTATTAGTATCGTAGAGCTGTACGAAGGACTAATGAGAGAATAAGCAAAAAAATGGTAAAATTTGCACCGAAAAAAAATCAAGGTATGTATTCAAATTACTCTTATCATTTTTTCGCGATATGGTTGAATGCGCGAAGCAATACATATTTTTCAACGTATAGATAAGCAACATTATATTTTAGTTTGAAGCACACAATAACGTCGACACATTATAGTGACATTATTGTCCTGGACAGACAAGATTCTCTACGAATCCAACTAGCAAATGTATGTATCTGCGAAACTCTAATCTCTTTAGGAAATCTTTTTAGTAATAAGTATAGAAGGGATTTTTCTATCCTCAAGTAGTGGTAATAGCAAAGTATAGTATTATTTTTCTACCATGGCAGTTAACTTCCTTTTAGTCAATTTGAATCTAGAGGAATGAAGATCTCGAGTTCAAATAGGAATGTGTAGCTAGGGGAAGGGAGCCTCATAATTATTCACTCATATTTAAATGTATAAAAGTCCCTTTTTTTAGATAGGGGGATTGGATGGTATAGGGGTTTTGACATTTATATTTATTTATATATATAAGACACCGGAGAAGCAAAATTAAAGCAGCTAATCATATTTATGTATATGGTTAGGCAGAGAGGGACGAGTGGATCAAGAATATTTATGTTTTTTTCTGAAATTAGTTTTTACGGCAATAATTTAGGCTTTTGTCGATGACTTACTTGTTATGAAAAAAGTCAATTAACGATAACTGGAAAATTGCCAGTTGTTTTTCGTTCCTTTGAATTTCAAAAATACTTGTGTCAGATTTAGTGTGAAAAATCGAATCTATGAAAGTCATTTATGAGGCTGTTCAGATGTAATATGATCATTATTCAGGTACCACAAAGATGGAGGGTCCAAATTTCGCACGAGCATTTTTGTAATGGGATAATTCTTTCGAAAAAGTACCGCATTTACATCGAATTTCTGTAAAATGCAATGATTCTTCCAGCACTGGTAGCACTTGGGCCTGTAAGCATAGCGGTAGGTTCAAAAAACTTGAAAATCTTGTAAAAGGTCCGAATAGAGAAGCAAGGTGGGATCTCTCAGCCAAACTGGGCCTTAGCTGCCTCCTCTGTTTCAAATGATAGAATTCTGAAAAGTTTATTATAGACACTACCCGTTGATGCGATGATTTTTTGTAGCAATCATCTTTTCCTAGTGTTCTATTTTTTGAGAGCTCACTATAGAAAAATGCCATTTTTTGACTTTCTTTGGGCTCAAATATCTCTATGAGGGCAAAATGGACTTTGAACTTTCTATTAGTGCTTTAGAATTGTCAAGCTGTTCTGTGCCCAATAATGGAACTTGCAGATCTGTAGCTGATTCCTGGATCGAATGACGAAAGCATCTTTACGACCAATTCTCCAAATTTTCGAATTTTCCAGCTCCTCAATCAAAAATACTGGATTTCCAA